AACCAGTCTTCCAGGCTAGTGGCGTTTCTAGGTTGGTGACAACCAGGTCAGTCCAGCTAGGTACTTGATGGGGTTCTTGTACATCTCCAACCTAGAGGGGTAGAGGGGTCACCATCATCTTTGAGGAATAAATCACCATCACAAGGAAACCTAACCACTTGGGATTTAGATTTAAGGGATTGTATCTGAAGCATGGTCAGAGAGGTGGAGTAGAAATAATGTTCATGTACCACCCTCCCTGCTGCCCAGCCAAGCATCCTTTCTATTTGAGCTGGCACAGATGAGCTCAGGGGTAGTGTTCTGGGGGACTTGCCATAGTAGTACAGCTTGGGATTTCATGGCCACCATGACAAAACCATGATGCTGTCTCAACACATTGCTAACTCGGGACATTGAACTGGGCTTTGCAACAGGGCAGATGGAGAGTGGATGGAATTGGGGGGGGGGTTTGAATAACTCAGTTGTCATAGTCAGACTACTTCCAGGTGAGATTTGGACTGCCGAGGACAGTTCTCTCCTGCAGTGCTGGGAGCCTCTTAAGATGGCCTGCCCCTAGATGGAAAAGGCTTTCAGTATAGTCACTCCTAAGTAGTCTCTCAGGTGTGGTAAAGACTGTGATCCCCCTTCGTTTTGTGGGGAGTTAAAAGACAACGAATCAACCCAGTAGAGAGATATAGCTTAAGTGAGGCAAGTACCACAATGAATGCAACCAGACAAAAGTGAGAGGACATAATGTGGTGCTGATGAGAGAAAATAAATCCTATTTTGCTGCCTCCATTGCATTCCCAAGGAACCGCCCAGCCAAACTGTCCCAAGTGATGAAGTCTTTCTTGAGAACTAGCCCAGAGGAGAGGGGAATGGCATCTTTGGAAGCCTGCTGTTCCAAGTTTGTAAAGCACGTTGAGAATAAAGTCGCTTGTATTTGCTTGGAATGGGATTCTCTTTTTGATATGATCCCTGTGGAGTTGTTCAGAGCAGCGGCAAGTCAGACTTTGTGGGATCAGTTTCAATTGTTGTTGCTTGAGGATGTGGAAAATACATTTCAACCGCATGTAGTCTTGGCTTTCACCCATCATAGCCAATAACGTGTAACTTGGTGGGTTTGTGTTCAGTGTGGGTTCAGTAGGTAATTAATGCTGGGTTACATTAGGGAGTGTATCTATTGCCTTTAAGTTGCACTGTCATCCCATGATTTTCCTCTGACAGCGGCATCATGCCAACAAATTCCTCTCCACTTCTGTCATTCTTCTGACATATCTGAGAAGTTCTGCCAGCGTCTACAATGCCTGTAGCTATTCTCAAATCCCACTGGTACAGAAGAGCTGCTGCCAAATGCTACAGCCCTTCATCCAGTAGATTTTATGTATATGATTGCACCCTACATTATATAGTAATATAATATTACTATGTAGAGTAAAAGGAGAAAAGAAAATCTGTGTGTGATGGCTATCTGTCAGAAAACTCACCAATGCTAGCATATTCAACAGCCAGAGCCTTTAGTAAGGATATACGATGGTATACTAAAGTACAGAAATTATTGCAGACATATTTTTAACTCCAATATCACTTAAAACATCTTTTTTTCAAAAAGTAAATTTTACCTTAATGGAAATTTATGACAGTATTATGTATTTTATTACATAACTGGATGCAATTTAAAATCTGATACATTGCACTTCATCTTAAAGAGGCAATAAAAGATGGACTGCAGTCCAGTATAATCAATGAAGTTTAAGCACATAACCATGTTCTGAATTGCAGCTATAGTAAAAAGCCAGCCATACCGATCCACGATCATGTCTTCTCTTTTACTGCTTTGTATTTTAATATACTGACTACTTAGCTCTTTCAGTCCTTCCTAATAATCCAAAGTCACTGACCTCTCAGTAAATTTAATAGCATTGTTTCTTTTCTGTTAATCCCACTTGGCTCATCGTTATCCTTTGCATTTGGCAGGGAGGGCAGGGCGTGTGTGAATAATATGGCCGCGTATTCATCTTTTAGTCACAAGGAGCCAATCATCTGAGGTGGTTATTTCTCCTGTTGAGAACATTTCCCAACAGCAGAATTAATCAGTTTCCTCTTAGCTAGCTATTCTAATGATCAAAAATTCATTGTACTAAATTAAATTTCTATGTCTTGGGTCAGAGCTACATTTTACATTGGCAAGTATTTGTCCCCAAAGCTGTGCTTGCCAGGGTAGTATGACGTAGATCAGGGATGTCCAACAGGTCAATCGCGATCTACTGGTAGATCCCCAGGAACTTTTGGTATATTGCAGTTGATCATGGGGTCCCTTTCCTTAGTGTATGTAAAATACGGTCCGCCCTCCATTGTTGCACGATCTGCAGAATGGAAGACGGAGTTTACTCAGTGAGGCTCTTTGTTTCCCCAGCAATCTGTTGGTGAGTGGCTGTTCCCCTTTCTCCCTTGAGCTTAGGCTTGAATTCTCAAAAATTGGGGCTTCCCTCCTCCCTAAAAAAAGCTAAACAACTTTGACCTGAATCCCCCAAACGGGGGTAGACAAAAGGGGGTAGATAACTGCCAGTTGTTAATTCTGTGAGTGGATCACAGTCTCTTGAGAGTTGGCCACCCCTGACATAGACAGACTGGGTCATTTGTAGGGGAGAATCAGTAAGTGGGATTTTTAATTTTACAGTCTTGGAGCTGGGCTGGGTTGTTGTTGCTGTTGTATTAAAGTAAAATACAGTATGACCTTCCTCCTGCTAATTATCTCCTGCAAATGGCACTTCCCCATCAGCATTACAAGTTAAACTTGAGGCTGGGGACCCGGTGTTTGCCTCAAAACACATGGTTCCATTTCTAGATTTCCTATGCAATTGTAGGGCATCACTTCTGTGCTGCATATTTCTAGCCACCAGAACTTAAGAAATCCTATGTTTCCCGGCCTACAGCAAGGCATGGGAAGAGAGCTCCTTGGTTCACTTTTAAATCTTTTATTTATGAATTTTGTAAAGCACTTTGAGGGGTCCCCCCAAATCAAGCATTATATAAATTTTATGACATGAACAAACAAAGATACTGCTCTTTGGCCCAAAGTCCTTCAAAGCTTTACTCCAGGGGTCGGCAAGGTTTTTTTTGGGGTGGGCTGGTTCACCACACCACAAACCTCCTGGTGGGCCGTAGTGCATGTGTATGCATAAGGAAGAGAGGGCTTATCTCTCTCCCCCCCTCTTCCCCAGCCCCTCCCGTCCCCCTGCCTACTTAGGGTGCTGCTGAGAGGCAGAGGCTGGTGGCAGCGGCGAAGGAACAAGCAGCCCGAAAGTGCTGCTTTTGGGCTGCTCGTTCCTCCTCTGCCGCCGCCAGCCTCTGCCGCTCGCAAGGGCAGGCACAGGAGCTGCGCTTGGCAGAGCAGCAGTGGCAAACAGCTTGCTCCGATGAGGGGCTGCTGGAAATGCACTCAGCAAGCTCAGCCCAGTCCCCTTCCTCCTCTCAGCCACGCGCAGCTGCCACTCGCCCATTGGCCAGGGCCTTCAAACCTTAGCAGGCAATTGGCCAGTGATTTGCTGCACCAGGAGGAGAGAAGAGGTTCTGCTGCAGTGAGGGAGGGGGGAATGGCACCCGCGCTGCAGGAAAAAACCTACGGAATCCCCATGCCAATGCTTGGAACCGGCCATGAGCCTTAGGTTGCCGACCTCTGCTTTAGTTTATAGTAGGGTTAGGGAAACTGTGGCTCTTCTTGTGGTTACTGGCTACAAGTCCCATCTTGCCCAACTTTTGCTCATGCTAGCTGGGTCTGATGGTAGCTAAAGTCGAACATACATGCACACATAATTTTATTTGTATTCCGCCTTTCCACAGTTGAAACCGTGCTCAGGGTGGCATACAACATGAAAAAAAGACCTAACTACAACATAACACAATTAATAAACAATGAATAAAACATAGAAACTGAACAAAACTGAATGATTTTCACATAAATCACAGCAAGAACCCCTTTCCCAACGAAAACTTCCAGGACCCAAACTTCCAGCCCAAGAGTCTGTTCAGCAGCCTCAGCTTTTGTAGCGGGGATCATTGAGAGCCCTGCACTCCCAAGCAAGGTAGAAAAGGCTTGCAAAGCAGGGAGCAGGTCTTCCAGGTCTCACAACCAAGATAACATTGCTGAGAATCTTGTTCCCGCCTATTGACATATACAGTCTCCTTAAATCTGAAATGGTGACCCTCATCTGTATGCTTACATTCAACTGTATTTGCAATACTATTTAAGATTGTGTGTATGGCCCCTTACTTTGGTTGATACATTTTGGAGAAGAACTACTGTGGCTAGATATGTTCTTTTTATCTGTTACTTACGAGGATAGAGTGTACATCATCCTGCAGAAACCAAGTCAAATATTAAAAAGGGTATTCAGTATAAAGCAGCTCCTGTTGCAAATGGCTGCATAAGGCTTTGGGTCCATTATTCATGTGTGAATTTTATACTATTCATAAACTAGAGCTTGATTTCACCAGTATGTTACATCTGTGTAAAATGGGTATAAACTGTAGCATTTTACACTTGATTTACAGAAATACGAATAATTATACAAGGCTGTAAGCAATTGAGGATAAAATTTTATCGTCAGCAGCCTTTAAGAAGATACTAAAAATGGCAGTAGTAGAAATGTATATTGTCACTAAAACCAAAGCATATGCTTGCTCTAGATTATCTTCTCCCTAAATTAATTTCAGTTATACTCTTCTTACTATTGGAAATCATTCCTCTGTTTTGTAACTTTATTTTTTACTAGAAACTATCTTGTAATGATAGTATGTAAAAAAAGGGGGCATCACTGTCTTTTTTGAAAGATGAATGACATTCTTATTGTTTTGTTGCCAATAGCAAATTTATTTGAAAGGCAAAGTAACATTCGAATCAACATCTTTGCTCTACTACTGAAATTGTTTGATTCCTTTGATGTAATCCCTGATTGCTGTAAAGTGAGAAGAACCAGTTCAGTATTTTTGTTCTTAGATCGCCCTCCTTTGTCTTGCAGCTACTTGTGGCAGATCCCATTAACAATTGCAGTAGGAAATACGAGCCACATCTCATCAGAGGCAATTATATGGGTGTCTAACAAATCAGGTAAAAATAAACTTTCCTCCCAGTGGAATCTCATAAAGCATTCATGTGTATTTTTTTCCTGAACTGTTTCTTCACAATTGATCTTAGGACATTGATTAGCTGTGCTAAACTTTATTCCTGCTGCTGAAAAATGAATGGTAAGAAAGACATTTTTGTTTTAAAGGAGGAAATGAAAGAAGAGTGTTGTTAATTTTAACAAAAGTCAAAGAATAAATTGAAGAGGCTTTAGACTACAGAGATAAGCTGAGGAAGGTGAAATCTTATATTGGGCCCCATGTATGGAACGCCTACATGCAACTCATTTCACTTAATCCAGACCCTGAATAATGCACAGTTGATGCTTATAGAGGGTTTGTGTTTCGTTTTGAAAATGAGGCACAGTGAAGACTGTGGTGTCTTTATTGATTTACACATATATGCAACCTAAGCCTGTGATAGAGGGACTCACAACATTAATACCCCAAAAGGGGTCTTATTTCTCCAGTAGCTACATTATTGGAGTCAAACAGTAATCAGACATTGCTTTCTCCAGTTTGCTGCTTTACTTCCAGGTCACATTACTGCAACTCAACTCTAAACTCTGGCTTTGTCTTCTAACTAACCACGAGCTAGGAGAGGGGCGCCACCCATTTGCCATCTCACACAAAGCTCCTTTCTTCTGTTTCCTTAATGGCCCATCACCCAGTCTATCACTTCAACACAGGAAGACAGCCTGACTTGTATTTTAACACTTGCTGGATCTACAGGTTAGAAGTATCTTACTTATAGCCTACGTTCCTCCCCACAAACTCATAATCCTATATTAGACCCCATGTACAGAGTTCTTACATGAAACTTATTTCACTTAATTCAGAGACTGAATAAAATATAGTTGGGGCAATAAATATACAAAACAATATAATGCACCTAGCTCATGACCAGTGTAATGTAGTCTAAAATTCATAAAAATCCACATCATTATTAGTCCAGGAAGGCTACAGAGAATTGCTGATTCTTCCTTGTCCACTGATACCCCAAAGAGCTTCTACTGGCCTTAACATAGTTACTGGATGTTGGGCTTTATGACATTCACATTCTTACAACCATCTTTTGCCACCACCAGGCATTTTAGGCTCTGATATAGCTGTAATAACAAATCAATTCCATGATGCTTAGTGTTGCTTTCAGATTATGCTTTTGTATTACTCTGAAACAGAAAGGAAACTCATTTTGCAAGTGGTGTTGCTTCTCATTGCTGTTTTTCTCATTTTTGCTACTAAATTTATATCGTAGCTGAAGTGGCACAGTCTGTTCGAATGGCAAGATACAAATAATAAAAGTAATGATGATGATGATGATAATAATAATAATAATAATAATAATAATAATAATAATAATAATTCCTTCCCATATGTGGAAAAAAGAAAAAACTGAACTCATTTCATAGAATAGAAAAGTTATTTTAAAAAATTTTCCTCATTGAAGTTAGGTGAAAGGAAGCAATCACCTAGTCTGAGTGTCTTTTTGCTCTTTAACAGACCATTAAGTAGTAATAATGTCTCATTGTGTCCTCTCATGTATAAGTGAGATCTAAGAATACAAACTTTCTAATTGAATGAATAAGGTATGGCTTTGGCTGCAGAAGGTTGGGTCAGGTTATTTGGCCATTATTATATCATATTGGTGCCAGCCTTGATGCTTTCAGTTAATCTGTTGCTTTGTCTTTTTTCCTTGCCCTCATTTGCTTAATCCACACATATTTCACATTCTCAGAATTCAAGTTCACTGATGGTATCAAGAAAAAAAACAACAAGCCAACAATAACTAGGATCACAGCAGTCGCTGATCAACTATTATATGTATTTCTAAGAAAGTTTATAAGAAGTTATCAAGCTGTGAATAAAACTAATTCATTTGGAAGCAGTATTTATTCATGAGCAATTCCTTTAACTTCATTTATATGCTAATCAAGATGCAGATAGCCTGAGTGGGTTAGAAAGGACCATGGGATCTTAAGTATGAGCAAAGTTAAAATCAATAGCAACTGTGATTTTAAATGCTAGTCAGTGTATACAACAAATAGAACAAATGGCTGGCTGATCTAGCCCAGTAATAAGTGAGAAGTCCCGCAAGCCTTTACTGAGTGGTAAAAAGTGCCCAAGTGGTAAAAGAACAGAAGCGACAAAAATGAATTATTATTCTTTGTTGGGAGGGGTATTTAGATGTCCATAGTTATAACTTTATGATAAGATTGCTAGGTTCTAATAGAAGATATACCAAGTGTATGGGAAAAGGATGGTCTGTAGGGATTACTCTCCCTGACAGTTGTGTTGTATGGATAACCAAGCATGTTTAATAAATTCCCTTTATACAGCTTCTATTGAAATTTACTTACCTTTGGGTAAGGAGTGGTAGTCGGTGTGGTAGTCCTGCTAGCAGATTTGGAAATGTTAACATATTGATTGTGAGAGCCTTCCTGGGTGTGGGATTCTTCTGAAACTTCACAAATATCAAAGGAGATTAGAGGAAACTGAAATTCTCACCTCCCCTTTCTTCAATATAACATCTGCAGTACCACATTTAGTAGTAGTTTAACATTTACAGATTTAGAAAGGTTCCCTTATTATTTTGAAGAGCGCATTCTTTTTTTGAGAGTGGCTGGATTGAAAAATTTGTGGTACGCTTTTACATGGTGGTCTTCAGCAATTTCAGGCCTCAAGCAGCCTCCTTGAATCAGCACTAGCAGCCCATTTATATTACCACCACCAGAATATATCAAACACCAGGGCATCACTTCCTATAGGTAGAGACTCCCAGAAGGACTTCCTGCTGGTGCAAGGTTCCACATCCTACAAGCTTTGTACTGTAAAAGCACATAGAATTATCAACTTGAAAGGCCTTTTGACACCAGGGGATCATGCTCAAACTCTACCTCCTTTGAGCTTCCTATTGCCACAGTTTTTCATTTCCCCCACTCTACTCCCAGCCCCAGCTTTATTTAATTAAGTAATGAATGAAAAGGCGTAAGGAAGCATTCCCTTTGTGGGATTTGATAGACGGGTGATTGAAACCGAATCTTGTGAAAGAGCATCTTCTCTTCTGTAAGATTTTTATCAATCAGAATCCCCCCCCCCCTGAATGCAATAAATAACTAATAAATAACCTTGGAAGTCAAACGGAATCCGTTCTGGAAGTCTGTTTGACTTCCAAAATGTTCATGAACTAAGGAGCGGCTTCTGGTTGTCTGCAGAAAGCTCGGATGTTCGGGTTCCAAAGAATGTTCGAAAACCGGAACAATCTCTTCTGGTTTTCAATCATTCAGGAGCCAGAACATTCAACTCCCAAGGCGTTTGAAAACTAAGGTACGACTGTATGTGTTTACTACTTGAAAGGCTAGATTCATTTTAAACAGAGAGTATTGTACGCCACTTCATCAGTGTGTAGTGAACTCAAAATGCATAAATTATATTTACACTTACCTTACAGCGTTTTTTATAGTATTTTTAACAGTAATCCTAAATGTATATTTACTAGGAATTAAGCCCCCCTGAACATAGTGGGATGGGACGCGGGTGGCGCTGTGGGTTAAAGCCTCAGCGCCTAGGACTTGCCGATCGAACGGTCGGCTGTTCGAATCCCCGCGGCAGGGTGCGCTCCTGTCGTTCGGTCCCAGCGCCTGCCAACCTAGCAGTTCGAAAGCACCTTCGGGTGCAAGTAGATAAATAGGGACCGCTTACCAGCGGGAAGGTAAACAGTGTTCCGTGTGCTGCACTGGCTCGCCAGATGCAGCTTGTCACGCTGGCCACGTGACCCGGAAGTGTCTGCGGACAGCGCTGGCTCCCGGCCTATAGAGTGAGATGAGCGCACAACCCTAGAGTCTGGCAAGACTGGCCCGTACGGGCAGGGGAGGGGGGGAACATAGTGGGAGCTACTCCTGAGTAAATGTGCACGCACTTGCACTGTACATGTATCAACTGACCAAAGGGTAAATTACTATAGGTTGGAGCGGAAGGTTGTGGGTGCCTATGCTAAGAGTCAGGGGGTCCTCCTGAACCATATGGCTGATATCATGAAGTGCTGCAGGAAAGGGTTAGTAAAATATTTCTCATGCAGTAACTTAATTACTCACATGTAGGGTTCTCAGTGTTACATTTCATGAAGCCTACAACAACAGTTTTGTATGAATTACATACAATGTAACATCTTACATTTGTAAGGGAGATGAGTAGGGTTGGGTTGTGGAAATTCAAAAAACAGCTTTGTAGCTAAGAGTTTATACACAATCCTAATGTTTACAGAGTTGTCCCTGTACAATGAAGAGTGGTAGGTCAGCTGCTTATCAAATGTAACAGCAAGCATTTGTCCTTCCAACATCAAAAATACTAGTCATTTTGTTTCATACACTTCTGGAAGGTGTTTGCCTGCTAGAAAACGACTAAGCTATATGCCTATGTATTCTAGAATGCATGTTTTTGCAAGCACAAATGGACCCGAATTCATGTCCTGATAAACGAAGTTTCAGACAATACTCTAAAACCACCCTCCATATTCTGAACAAACTAAAATAACAAAGAAAAGTTAGCCACCAATATTAGATATTTATATCTCGCAACAATTCTATGCATAGGATAAATATTATTTTTGGATAAAATGCGCTTCTACCTTCTTTTGTTGCCAACGTGACTTTTCAGTAAATATTTCTGATAATTAGAGAAATTGCACATGATTTCAATGAAGTAAGCACACCAGAGAGGCATTGGTAAAGAAAGCGTGATCTATAGAAATGTTGGGAAAGGCTCAGACATAAAATTCTAGTAAATTATATAGAACTTTGTGAAGAACATTCATCAGACAACCTTTACAATAACCTCCTACTTATTTGAACTAGAATAACATGAAAAGATTCCTACTCTCCTTTGTAGGAAAAGGTCAAAATAATCATGCCCTTATCTAAAAAATAATAATGGATTGTGATTCTACTGAAAACTTACTGAAAACCATGATAACAGAAACACTTTTCTTTTTCTTTTCTTTAAAGATACTGCTGTAGCTTTCCTTTATCAAAGAAATGTGTAGTGATAAAATAGGTGTTTTGAAGCTGTCATCTTTGACTGGCAGGTTTTCATACTACTTTATAACATGTATGAAAATAGTCTGGAATCTAGGTAGATAGATTCTAGATAGTTTGTGGCCAATATTCAGTTGATCTAATCTACAAAGGTTATATGCATACAACTGTCATTATGCCATATTCATTTCTCGGTAAAGGACTGGAAGGGAGGTGGGCAGACTTCAGAATTGTAGAATCTACTTTTTTAAAATCAGAAACAAAGATTTTACTGGCACCTAGAATGAAAGAATTATGGAGCCATGGATTTTTTCTGAGTTCCAGAACTGAGCAAAGTTCACTGTCTTTCCATACAAAAATCTACTTCTGGATATTGTCCCACTCCTATTTTCTATTTCAGTAGGCTAATTTTTTGGGGTGAGGTGTCATTTGTTGCAATATTTCGAATTGGATCTTGCAGAATGTCAAGCATTTTTTTAAAAAGAATCCCACCCCCCAAAAAATTCAAACCAACACATTCTTTCCCATCTCACAGACATTTTGTATTTTTAAACTAAGCTCCAAGACACTGTTTGTCTTTCCCAATTAGCTGTTTGCCTATTTTTATTTGATTTACTGAATTTAAATTTTACTGAAGTGCCTATTTGTGTAGGTGAGCAACCCCAGACAATAGTGTGTGTGTGTGTGTGTGTGTGTGTGTTTACTTACATCATTTTTTGTGGGGGGCTTTGATGGGAAAGAGGATCATTAAGATTACTTTTTTAAAAAGGTGTTTTCCAATCCTGAAGCAGTTACCACTCATTAAAAGATTGATGGGCTAAATAGGATAATTAATTATGCTAAAAAAGAAGAGGGAGTGACTTTATAGAAAGGCATGCTGGGACATGTGTTTATTTTCGGATCCTATGAATCTGGCAACTTGTTGATACAGATGTTGCTGGAAATAGTGCTTGCAGATTGATTTGACCTGGAATAATTTATTGTGTAAGAGTACTGAATGTTGTAGACAGTTTGGTGTGGGGAGACAATCGGGATAGGTCATTTGGTAGAGTATGAGACTCTTAATCTCAGAGTTGTGGGTGGGTTTGACCCCCACATTGGGCAAAAGATTCCAGCATTGTAGGGGGGGACTAGATGACCCTCAAGGTTCCTTCCAACTCTACAATTCTATGTTCTTATGACTGAGTGCAGAACGATGAAGATGTACTCTTTACATAAAGGGTGGTAACCAAACCATTTTATTTAGAACAAACTGGAGCACACATTAGGCCCACTTCAACAGCCTCAAGACCCAGGTGTGAATACAGTGGTGCCCCGCAAGACGAATGCCTCGCAAGACGAAAAACCCGCTAGACGAAAGGGTTTTCCGTTTTTCGATGTGCTTCGCAAGACGATTTTCCCTATGGGCTTGCTTCGCAAGACGGAAACGTCTTGCGATTTTTTTCGCTCCCCCCTTTTTCTAAGCCGCTCAGCCGCTAATAGCCTTTTAGCCGCTAAGCCGCTAAGCCTTTAATAGCCGCTAAGCCGCTAAACTGCTAATAGCGCTAATCCGCTAAGCCGCTAATGGGGTTGCTTCGCAAGACGAAAAAACCGCTAGACGAAGAGAATCGCAGAACGGATTATTTTCGTCTTGCGAGGCACCACTGTAATTTTATCCTGCCTTAATTATGTCAATTTACAGCCTGCCTTAGCTGATATGTTACTATCCATTTAAGTTAAAACTAAGTAGAACTCTGGGGAAAGAAAATGTCTGGGCTTCTGGGGTGGCTGAGAAAGGGTTTTAGGTCTGCTGAGTTGAGTGCTGTTTTAGGACTCTGTTGAACTGCAGGAATAGGTCCGGATGAAAATAAAAGTTAATTTGTTCACATGCTCCTTGTCTGGACTGTAACATTGGCTCCTGGTCTTTTCCATCAAACCTGGCCTGGAACTGCTCCAGACTCTGACTGGATTCTGTTAACATTACGGTGACTTTAGATTTTTAAAAACCCTTTTGTAGGTTGTGTTAAAAGTTCCAAAATGCAAATCAGTTAATGTGTGTAAAATGTTTACTGCATTTTGAAAACACTTAACAATAGAAAACACAAGCATAGAAAGCTGGGGCCACGGACAAAGCGAATTAATAAATGAATCTGCACTTTTATATACAGTGATACCTTGGGTTAAGTACTTAATTCATCCCGGAGGTCCGTTCTTAACCTGAAACTGTTCTTAACCTGAAGCACCGCTTTAGCTAATGGGACCTCCTGCTGCTGCCGCGCTGCCAGAGCACAATTTCTGTTCTCATCCTGAAGCAAAGTTCTTAACTTGAGGTACTATTTCTGGGTTAGCGGAGTCTGTAACCTGAAGCGTATGTAACCCGAGGTACCACTGTATCTCTATATACTATATTTTTACTACTAGTCCAGCATCAAACTGTTTTCATTGGCCTTTTCTAAAGGTTCTAAAGGGTGCATGAAACAGGAGGGGGAAAGGAGGAAAACTCATGTGCAGTAAATGATGGGGGGGGGTAAGGGAAATTATCTGTCAGTGAATTTCCCTACTAAAAGGGGCAAAGTGTTGGTTTTAAGCTACAGCAAAAGTTTGAGTAAAACATGGGTGAAAGAACACTGAAAGGGAAATTGTGAAACTGCAGCAGAAATTTGAATAAAGCAGGGATAAAATCATGGTGTTGACCATCTTTAATAGTCTATGTGTAGTATGATTGTTTTTCACTCTCTCTTTGTTAACCACTAAGGCAAAGGGTATGCCCCAAAGAGACTTTGGGAATAGCTCAATGAATATTTAGACGAACCAGTCTGCAGCAGCTGTGGGGGAAAAAAGCAAATTTCATGTTATAATAATTAGGAGCGGGGACTGAAAAGAAAACTTTCAATATCATAACTCCGTTACATAAATCTATGGTATGGCCAGACTTGGAATACTGTGTACGGTTCTGATTGCTTGAGCTGAAAAAGCATATTGTAGAACTGGGAAAGGTTGAGAAATGCACAACCAGAATGATCAAAAGGCTGGAATAACTTCCCCATGAGGTAAAGATGGGACTTCTAGTTTAGAAAAAAAAGGGGGACATCATAGAGGTATATAAGAATCTGCATGCTGTGGGAAAAGCGAATATAAATTTGTTTTTCTTCCTCTCATAGTATTGGAGCCCATGGCCATCCAATGAAACTGAATGTTGAAGATTCAGGACAGACAAAATAAAGTATTCATTCATATAAGCACATAGTTTAAGGTGTAGTGATTGTCATCAACTTGGATGGCTTTAAGGGAAGATTAGACAAATTCATGGAGGATAGGCTTTCACTGGCTTCCAGCCATGACGGCTATGTTCTGTCTCCATGGTTAGATGCAGTATGCTTCTGAATACCAGTTTCTGGAAACTACAAGAATGAGGAGTGCTGTTGTGTTGAGGTCCTGCTCACAGGCTTCCCATAAACATTTGGTTGGCCACTGTGATAACCGGATTTTGGACTAGATGGGCCTTTGGCCTGATCCATCAGGGCTCTTCTGTTCTTCTATCACTTTATACAGGCATAGGCAAACTCGGCCCTCCAGATGTTTTGAGACTACAATTCCCATCATCCCTGACCACTGGTCCTGTTAGCTAGGTATGATGGGAGTTGTAGTCCCAAAACATCTGGAGGGTCGAGTTGGCCTATGCCTGACTTTATACTTGGGCTGCATATAGTGTGGGTGAAGATAATTTGTGCAACAAATCAACTCACAGCGGAACTGCATCTTGTTTGCAATCCATATGTCATAAAGGCTCCCTCTCCCATGCATTCCAGCCTGACTTTGGTCCACAAATCGGATATTTAGAATTAAGCAAGCATTGTCCAGCTGATTTAGTGACTATGGTTCAATTCCTTTATTCACTTCAGATGCAATAATATAATTTTCCTCCATCAGTTTCATGTGGTGAACATTCTTCATGAATGAGCTCTGTCGTGGCAACAGTTGGTCTTTGCCGCCTCAGTGGTAGACACTGAGAACTAACAAGCTTCCTGATGTGATAAATACTAGCTGTCACCATTTGAGGGTGCATTTATAAAATAATATTCACCACATGAAACTGATGAGGTAGAGCTTTATCTTGTAACATATTTATCACATCAGAGATGAAAGTAGGAATTTTGTCCTAAGCCGAATTAAAGCCAGCTACCTGGTTTGGAGTTTATTAAAATCTTGTTGGTAGAAATGGGCTTCAGTTTTTGTTAGTAGCATCCAGGATAACCAGACTTTTCTAGGGGGAAAATATACTAAATGTATTCTATATTTCCATTGCAAATTTAGGAAAAGCATTTTTATAGTCAGCCCAAACCATATCTACCTGGATGGGACACTAGTGAAAAAATATTAATAATTGTCCTCTTGAAAGAGTGGAATTTTTCATTTACAGTGTTTTATGAGAGAAATTAAAGTAGCCTGTTCAAATTAAAACATTTTACTGTGCTGAAAGAAGCTGGTAAATTATATTCTAGGTACAATATAAAATGTTAAAACTTTTTGAACCAGTAATTTTAAGTTCCTCCCTCCCCTCCCTGTGTTTTCTTTGCAGAGCATCACAGGATTGCTTCCCTTAATGAGGGAAACTGGCTGCTGGGGAACATCAATCAAACTGGCTATTTTAGGGTTAACTATGACATTAGAAATTGGAGATTATTAATTGACCAGCTGATGAGGAACCATAAGGTAAGCCCATTTCATCATATTGCCTGAATATTTTTGTGATTTCTGAAATCCTTCCTGTTTTTGTGTTATCCTGACGTGTTCAATTTTTCTTCTTTACCCTCACAGGTAATCTCTGTCAGTAATCGTGCGGGATTGATCGATGATGCATTCAATTTAGCCAGGTATGTTTTTCTGTAGATAATCTATTCTAATACACCTCCCTGTAATACTCCTATATTTGCCTGGTTAGCCTAGGCGTGCTTTAAGGTTGAACCTATCTTTTAAAAAGTGTTTCAAATCCCACCCAGCTTTCTTCAATTTTCTATCTTTCCATGAGACGAAGCACAAACACCGTCAGCCGCACTTTCCTCATTCCTGATCGATAAAAGCCTCAGGGTATTTCTGTGTATAGATGCTTGATTAATTTCCCTTTAAAGTCAGTTTAATACATTGGAGATTAATAACGTGTTCCCATTTCACTAATGAACGACTTTTTGTCCCCAAATGATATTTGTGCAATATATAATTTCTGATGATAAAAATCTTCAAGCTTCAGATTTCCCCTCCCTGCTCTGACATACATATTTCTTGCTCTGCTTTATGATACTTGGTTATCCAATGCAGAAACAATCCTCAAGAATAACGTGAAGAAAGCAAGGCATGTATAAAAGGGTAATAAATAGATGGAAGTCATTCATAGAATACGTAAAAACAGTCGTAAATAGCTGGAACAGAGTTTGATTATATGCTGATGTAATATATATAATATTAAGTATGGAAAGTAATTATTTAAATAAACATTTCATATTCATAATCTTATTTACTATTTATATATTTTTACGTTTTATCACGTGTTCATAAGCTTGATTCAGTTTTGTATATATTCTAATACTGTTATATTACTAAAATTGTGGGGTGTGGGGTGTGTGTGTGTGTGTGTGTGTGTGAATGATAATTTGTATATTTATTGTCTACATCCAAAATGGGTTGCATAAATTAATGGTTCTTAAAAATTTGGCAAAAAAAGAGAGTAGTGCCACATTTTTCTTGCTACTGCAGAGATCATTATTTTTCTTGACACAGGCCTGATTTCTCAGTATGAAGAAATTCTGAGCTAGGTCCTAAATGTTTTTATAAAACAGGATGAATTGTCTCATGAACAAATTGGTAGCCAATACAACTATCCCAATATTGCTCAGATATGCTGCTGCCTCCCCACTCCTGTCAGGTACTAGGTTGTGCATTCCCCACTGTTCTCAGCTTCTGAGCTGTCTCCAAGGAAGTCTCAGAAGTCCTGAGGACCACCTCAATCATGGATGCAATTCCAGCACTGGTTGTGGTGTTTCAAGAGCTCCAATACAAATGAAGTAGTCAAGCATTCCTTAGTTGGAGACTTTGTCAGGCAGCCACAAGGAGGAGGAAAGGGGAATTCTTACTGTAGTACTTGGAAAAATTCAGCAGAGTGAGTTTTGTATACAGTGGTACCTCGGGTTACATACGCTTCAGGTTACATATGCTTCAGGTTACACCCTCCGCTAACCCAGAAATAGTGCTTCAGGTTAAGAACTTTGCTTCAGGATAAGAACAGAAATCAGGCTCCGGTGGCGGGGCAGCAGCAGTAGGTCCCATTAGCTAAAGTAGTGCTTCAGGTTAAGAACAGTTTCAGGTTAAGAACAGACCTCCGGAATGAATTAAGTACTTAACCTGAGGTACCACTGTACTTAGGGAGAAATGAGAGTGCCATATATGACTCTGTGGACTAAAAAGGTACTATATTCTCAGTGCTACTGCATGCCACAATACAGAGTTCTTTATTGTCTGTTGACAATAGGTGAGGGACTTTTGAATGGGAGTTATGTGTGTTATATAGCTAAGGTAATGTAAACCTTTCAATAAATGCTAATTAAATGTGAATGATGGCCAGTACTTTATATGATAAAGTATTTGATGATCACACACATGCCGTGTATTCCGTGTGTGTGTGTGTGTGTGTGTGTGTGTATGAAAAAGGAAGTGAATTGTATGTATTTTTATCATTTTCCCAGTAGCAATACTGTTTTCGGTAGCATCTTCAGGTTCCCTAAAGGTTCCTGTGGTGCTAGAGATCTCTCACTGGTTACAGTTATGTTCACATATGTTAGAACACACTGTTTTGGAACCATCACCCCCATCTTTTCTGGATTAAGAGCTCACCCACACTTACCTTATGCCCCACAATTTCCTGTTCCGTGTCAACCCACTCTTTAATGGTGAATTGGAACAAACAACAATTTGGGTTTCCTGTGGAATGGTTTCCAGTGGTCAAGAGCATGTTTTTGCAAGGAATGTGCCAGGGAGAAAAAAATAACACTTGGACACAGAACTTTAAAGCACAGACCTATGCCTATAAATTCAGCAGTAAAGGAAATCTGGATGAGCACTGAAGCACATATTTTTCGCCCTTATCTGGCTAAGTACAACCCCAAAACACTGGTTTTAAAGCATGTGTCTTCTGTCTTCATAAGTTATAATTTTAGCCCTCTTCTGACACTAAAGTTAGGGTGAACACATGAAGAGGAGAATAGGGGAGACATACACTAGCTCTGCCTACCATCACTATTCTGGTTGCTTCCAACTTATGGACAATGACTGCAGTAGTGTGTGCTATGATACAACAGGGCTACCCATGTGTTATTGGGGCTCCAATGCATGTAGAAGTATTTATTTCACTCCTAGTTGTCATGTCTGAAGGGGGCTATAGTGTTGCTGTGTTCTGTTTCACTTGTCAAAGCAATGAATATATTTTATTATAACATCAGTTAATGTTAATTTGCTTACTGTAATAAAAGTTGTGAAGTGTAGGAACAAGTTGACCAAGAACAGGAAATGCCAGCCCCAAATTAAGAATTCTTAAACTGTTTCCTGAAAAGGCTCGAGGTTTTTGCAAACCTTAATAGAGTTTCGTGATTAATAAGCCACAGGGCTCTTTCTTTAAGTGCCCTTTCTTTGAAATTGATGTAAGGATGGCATTCTTAAGAGAGTTGCATCTTACGGGTCACAATGAGGCACATGAAAAAGGTTGTAAGTGATTTATTTATGGCTTTGTAAGTCAAAAACTGACTTTGTACTGTCAGTTTTGACTTATACACATGATACTTGTATGATTTCCTCATGGACAAATAGCAGCTTCTGGGTAGGGAGAAGGGGATTTAAATGGGGGAAAACAGTATAGGGGAAAGTGTTAAGTTTCTCTCAGGAACACAGCTCCTATCCAATCTCTGCCAGAAACTGCTTTTAACTTAAAATACACATGCACACCTGCCCCTTAGGAGATCCAATCACAGATCTCCAAAAGCCTCATCTAGATTGACCTTCATTTCATCTGTTTGGAAATCTATAAAGGCCTTGGAAAGACGTGTGGGAAAGCGTGGGAATTTGAGGAACTGGGAATGCTTGTTAGATTATATTACTCACAATGTGACAATATTGATTGAAAGGAATGGGAAAACTCGCTTACTTGCTTCATAAGGTATTCTCTTACCTAACAATGCATACAAAGCATCTGTTATTGTACTTCAGTGCAGTAGGTTACACCTAAGTGATCTTTACTTATATTCATTTCACTGAATGAATTTTGAACTTAACATTTTAATAATGTCTGTTGCAAGGAGCAAAATCTTGTAAGTCATAAGCCTATTGATATATCCTTCTTTATTTTCACAGCAATACTTTGTAGTAAATGGCTGTTATTATTTTATTTTGGACTTCACTGGTGGGTAACTTCAGCTTAATTATAAGCACTTGTCTAGTCCACTGATAATTTAGGACTTGAAAACTGACCTCTAAGATACAGAGTGCAACACATTCTTCCTCTGGTTCACATGGGCTCATTGATTACAGTAGCTAAATGTTATGCCTTCATTTATATGAAAGAAACATACAACCCCTTAAATGCTCTCCGTGTTTTGGAAATGATAGTTTCCTGAATTGTCTGTTGGGAGCATCTGTGTAGCAAAATTAAAGTGTGAATTTGTAGTCATCTTTATCACACTAATCCTTCCCCAGAGAGCCAAATTTAATTCATTACAACATCCAAAGTCTTCAAGCATATTCAAGGTAATTGGATCCATATTATCCCCTAATGATGTTGTTTAAACCCCTGTTCAAACTAATGACCAGAAAAGTCAGGGTTTTCAGACCAATTTAAGCATCAGAAATTAGAGCAATAGACTGTGAGAACATTCAAGGTTTCCACCAAAGCCAAGGAAACACATCTAAAACCTTCCCAAATATCAGCTCTCACATGCAGAGTTGTTGATAATGTTCTCTTAATGCATTCACAAGGAATAATACGGTTTCTGTGTAAATGAACATTTTGTTTATCTTGTATTTAACCTTCATTATTGCCTCTACATTAAAGTTTGAAAACCAAGACCACAGCCCTCAATGGTGAACAATTTAATTGAGTGGGATTACTGCGAACTAATTACTTTGAGGAGAGCAGCTTTTTCTTTCAATAGCTTTCTGAATTCTGTTATGCACCAGTATGATCCATAGCAATCTAATGTGTGATTCACAACTTAGTTAGCCATTGACTTTAATACTTTTCACATGTTCCAACACAGTCTATGGGTTAAAAAAAACCTCCAATTATTTTCTATGAATTGTCAAAGGCAGTAATAAATCGATTGATTTTAGATACTGCTAATAGTTATGTTGGCCTGATACTTTATTTAATTGTGTGGTTATAGTCTTTTGATATTCTTCATTGTGTGATCCATCCAGGAATCAGTTTCCACGAAGGGTGATATAAACATGTTTAAAATAAATGTACCAAGGCTGAACCTTGTCAGTAAAATATGGTTCCATCATTACTAAACACGGATGAATTATGTCAGTGTCATCTTTTCTTCCAATATTGTGGGGAGCCATCCTAACTCCTGGCCATGGGGCACTGGGGCTGAATGGAGCAGTGGAGCTGCTACTTCATCCAAAGGCATGTCTCTTGTACCAACCAGATCACAAGGTAGCCGGAGAGTATTTTTCTTAAATTTAGCTGTATCAGCTCCAGGCTGACACAGCAGAGGGGCTTGAATTGGGCTTCTCTCTGGCTGCACAATCTGTTTAGGATCCAGTGGATGCTTGGCTGACCTGGTGCCACCCCTATTCTGCCCAACCAGATAGAAAGTCTCTATCTCTAATCCCAGGTTTAACGTTCAGGCAAGCCCTGACTGTGCTCTCAGATTGTCTGCATCCAACTTAAATTCCACCCTCTATCTCCTGATTGGCTGATTGACTTGCCAATTCCCACTGGAGGCAGACCCAGGGCCTGTCCATCACAGGCACCAGCAGGGACACTGCCCATGCCATCTCATCTTCTCACTGTTGCCTTCCAAGGCCTATACTGTTTGTCCATGGCTCCCATAGCTGTGATGAGTGGCAAAAGAAGCACCAGGAAAATATGGGGCTTAAAATTTGCCAATAACTCATAATTCTCTGTCATTCTCAACACTCATGCCATTATCATCTACTATACAGTAATACACAAGAGCTGTGCATAACCATTGAATCGTTAGAGTGAAATGTCGCACCTTTCCTTTCATGTCGTACCCAATGCAGTGTATGAATTGAACACGCATTGCACTAAAAATAGCCTTATCCTTTGCTTTATTTTCAAGAGGGAAAAAAATCTCTGAACAACGAATTCCACTGAATTTTGTGTTCGTGTCATTTCCTTGTGTTCCATAACAATGCACAGACACAACGGTGCAGGCACGAAACAATCTTTGTTACAGATTTACATAAGAAAAAGTAGGAGTTGTCACTTTGTAAGTGGAGGTGGGGATATATCGGAACAGCCATAAGCTACTCACGTTCTGTACATCCCATATGAAGCAGATGATGCAGAGTGCCTTTTAGAACGGTAGCAACTAAATCAACTCATTCCCATTGTCTCAACACTGTCAGCCAGTTTGTGACCAGCTTGGGTTTTCTAATTTTGATTTAAGCACATCTCAGGATGGCTCTGGTGGACGGTGGGCTCATGAATTTATGGCGCACTTGTATGTGGGACTCTCAGCACTTTACTGCAACACTGTTGTTTTTGTGACAGAGTCTGTTTGACGGGTTTTGGATTTATGGTGGAAATAATTCAGAATGGAGTAATAATTTTCCCTTGGCAATTACACTACCATTTGGTACTTTGTCCCTACGGGGAAAATGAATGTACTGAGCTCTATCTGTGAGTTCAGTTGCACAATGTAAGTGAAGAAACCAAGGTCAGAATGCAGCTGCACAGCTCACAAATCGTCCCTTCAGAATTAGATATGTGATCTTTAGCTAACTCACTGAAAGCTCCTGTAATCATTTCAGCAATTTAAATATTTATTTTCGTGTCAATCAGTTAGGAATCTTGGGATTCATATGATGTTATGGTTCTCTTTTCTTTTTTGTGAATTAATTGAAAGTATTCTGTAGTATTTTCATTTAATTGTGCCCCCCCCCCGAAACAGTCATGATGCTTCTCCACTGACTGATGGGATTATGCCTTCTAAATCTCCCCATGTTTCATAGGAATTGCTAGCAAACGAATAATAGCTAATAAATATGAAACACGTTACTTTCATAATTATTCCAAGCTACTATTATATCAACTATCATGGCGACATTAAAAGGTTGATTGTGGCCTATGTCTTCTCCGTTGAATTAATAAATGTTGTTGGGAGAATGTTGGAGCAAGATGGGACTATAATGAAAAATGGCATCTTGGGAGTTAGCTTCTTCCTGTTTAATCATAATGACCTTATAAATATTTTCTGTAACAAATGTTTGTGACTGTTCAGTTCCTATCATCAGGCTTTCTTTTTTTTAAAATCCTTTTGACCTTGCAGACATGAGTTCATTTAAATTATATGTTATGATGCATAGATTCATTTCTAAAGAACACTCCGTACTTGAAAACTTAAAGAATATTGACCTCATTGTTTAATATAATGAAATGATTATAGTTTTTTATTTGTATCTGCACAAGGAAAAGCTTACCTCAGTTTCTAGTGTCACCATGACCTTTTTCCAATTAATGATTCACAATAACTTCTTTGATTATACAGAGCTGGCTATTTGCCTCAGAACATTCCACTAGAGATTATCAGATACCTGTCCAAGGAAAAGGAATTTCTGCCTTGGCATGCTGCCAGTCGAGCCCTTTATCCACTAGATAAACTGTTGGACCGCACAGAAAACTACAACATCTTCAATGTAAATATATTTGTCTTTCTTTCTTGTGACCACTGAACTATTGTTGCCCACCCCAGTAAAATCCTGTAACTTGCTTAGGGCCTTTCTGCATAGTTAAGGTGCATCCCAAATGCACTTTAGACCCTGTGCCACAAGTTCCTTTTTATGTGGGCAGGGGGAGGATGGACTATTTCCCTTTAAAACCAAAGAAAACAAGCAGATATGCATTCCCAGTACTGAAGAGAAGGGCACACTGTCTTCCAATGAATTGAAAAAGAAAAGAAAAATAAATAAGGGGGTTGTATCATGATTCGTCTAATAAGTTAGGAACATATGAAACTCTGAGTCACCTCAGTATATACTGACTGGCATCTGCCTTTCAGTGTTACAGACAGGGATTTCCCCCAGTCCTATCTGCAATATAGAATAAAATACAGAAATTGAGGTAGCTCAGTTGGTTAGAGCGTGGTGGTGACATCACCAAGGTCGCAAGTTTGATTCACATGTTGGACAGCTGTATATTCCTGCATTGTAGGGAGTTGGACTAGAAGATGATCCTTAGGGTCCCTTTCAACATGATTCTATGAAAAAAGACACATTCTGCATGAATTAAATGCTCAACAACATATGGTCTGGTTTAAATGTAGCCCAGGACCAGTTAGAAACCTAAACCATTTTCAAATACGAGATGAAAATGTGTATGTCCTATAAAAGTTTATTTCTTTTTTTTTAACTTAGCTCATGCATTTTGAGCTTTTCCCACCCTTTCCCGAAGGTCCTTTGCCACCTACATTGACACAAGTATGGGGGCAGAGGGAGGCAAGGAATTATTGCAGCTCCATGCTAGCGTGATGTTTCCATTCTTTCATCCTTCTAATGACTGCCAATGGACACTGACCTCTATGCAGTGTACCCTTCCTTCCCTGTCATGCAATGCTGAAATCAGAGTTGTTGTAGCCTGTGCTGAAGAATCATTATAAATGTATCTTTTGCTGACGCCCTATTTAGTCTGACTGGGGGAAAATGCAATTTGAGTAAATAATAGCAAAAACATTGCTGGCTTATTCTGCTTCTTCCCAAGGTATCATGCGAGAGCTGACAACAGACTTCGTAAATTAATTTTTGTCACAAGAATAACTTACTTGCCAAAGGATGGTATATTGTCATATACCATCCTTATGCAACTGAGTGAGCTGCTGTGTAAATAAAAATTATTCACTCATATTGTGCTACTATAACGTAAACTACATTCTTAAAACTGAATTGAATTTATATTTCACTTAAACATGGGTATTTGGCAGTAAGAAAATTACAATATGACTATGATGGCAGAGGCATACTTTACAGCTTGTCATAAAAAGTAAAGGTCCCTATTGTGTAAGGGTCAAAAGCAGAAAACTTGTTACGCTTGCCTTTGTAAAAGTGCCAACAACTAAAATGACATTGAAATACAGGCATCATTAAATTGTCCAATCTTGATATGCAGCTCACATTGTTCAATATTATCACATCAATTGGCTGTGCCTACGTAATGGTTTTGCCATATCTGTGCATATAAAGACAGCCAAGCCTATCAATTTCATCTCTGTGTGTGGCCTAAATGTGTCACTTGTAAATGTTTAATGACGGACATTACTCAAACATGCATTTTTTAAGTCAAGAGTAGCCTAGCAAGGTAAATACTAGCCTGTCTAAGCTAGTATTTTCATACTTGTGTCAAACATACATCAGTACATGTTTAAGAAAACCAGGAATGATCCAGCTGACTTCAAGCACTTCTAAACCCCATTCTTTCAGGAGGATTTTTGAGTTGAGCTGAGAAGAATTTTTGGACCCAGGTTTTCCTGTCCATTCATTGTGGTTGGTGTAAAAAGAAACTTGTGAACATAAAATGTGCCTGCTGGATCAGCCCAATGGCCCATTCAGTCCAGCATCCTGTTCTCACAGTGGCCAAGAAGGTGACCATGAGTAGTCCATAAACTGGACATGAGCACAACAGTACTATGCCTTAAAATTTGGGGGAAAGCATTTTATGATGTGGCCAGGGGGTCCAAGAGTAAAAACTATTATGAGGGTGCAGTCATTTTCTCTCTGCTTTGAAAGTGGATATGGCATTAGTGATTCTCTCTTAGGGTGCATCCATTTGGAACTACAGTGGAACCTTGGTTCTCAAACACCTTGGTACTAGAACATTTCTGCCCTGAAAGCCGAAAACACGGAAGTAAGTGTTTTTGGTTTTCAAACATTTTTCGGAAGCCAAATATCCGATGTGGCTGTCAGCTATTGTTTCCTGGGCACATGTACCAATCAGACGGTGCACCTTGGTTTTTCAATGTTTCGGAAGTTGAACGGATATTCAGAATGGAATACGTTCGAGAACCAAAGTACCACTGTACTCAGCCTCTGAAAGCTAGGATTCCACTGATGGTCACTGGCATGGTTCCCACTTTAAAATCAGACCTTCTAAACACACACACACACACACACACACACACACAGCCAGCTGCCAAACACAAAGCCTCACTGTGCAGGTTGGTAGATGTGCATGTTCAATACGACAAGTGACATTATCTCATACTTTGAGCCCCACTGATGACACACATGGCCGAAAAGATAGGTCACTACTTATCTTTAAAATGTCACATGTAATAAAACTATTTTAAAAGCTATCTTTGAACTGGATGGAGCATGTTATCTTTTAACTATGAAAATATCTGATGCAGGGTTCTTCTCCCCCCCTTTGTGTTTCAGGAATATATATTAAGACAAGTTGCTTCAATGTATCTTAAGCTTGGATGGCCAACAAATAATTTGGACAAATCATTTGTTCAAGCTTCCTACCAACACGAGTACTGTAACACTTTTCTTTTCTTTTCCATTTTTAACAGTTGTAGAGCATTTGTATTGAACCAAACTCCATAGGCTTAATGAACCTGATGCTTATTTCTGGGCACGCTCCACTGATTATCCTAAGAGGGGGCTGAGTATATTTCCACCTCTCTTGTTGAATCAGTGGGACATAAAATTGCAAAGGATTGTGCCTTTTGTTTTCATTTGGGGATTTACTATTATGAAAGTGTCTACTTTTACTAGACTCGGAAAACTAAACTGCTCCTTCATTGTGACTTAAGTTCTAGCTGCATTTGGGAGAAGGACCAAGACCAAGGGGCATGCATGCTTGTAACTGGCTGGCTTTGTAGAAATGTAATTGCTTATTAATTTACCATTGTAGGATGATTTACCATTTTAGGATACTGTGGTCTGTGCATCACCAGTGGTCCACGAGCTTTGTTTAGGTGGTCTGCAGCGAATCTGTGGATTAGTGATTCAAGACAGGAGAGTGCACAACCACCGTATTAATTATTCATATAGAGTTTTAATTATATTTAATTTCTTTTTTAAAAAATAATTTTTATTGAATGATTTTATGTTACATATTTAATTTCTTATATTGCATTTGATTGTATTACAATCTGAATTTTATGGGATTCAGTTGTAATACAGTAATATATAACATATAAGAAATAAAAGAATAAAAATCTTTTTATATATTATTTTACAAAATAAAATTGTAAAAATACAATAAAAAATGCAATACAACATCTAGCACAGTGCATTACAATTGCTACAACAAGCAAGACCCTCAGCAATTTTCAGGTAGTCCATTGGGGGAGAACCACTGGCTTAGATCTTGTAAGCAATTGTGCATTTTCATTTGAGCACTTGAACATATTCATTAATATGACCCTAACACAATTTTTGTTTCTGCTTTGGGGTTACCCAGGGAGTTACGCCGTGAAGTCATTATGCTGGCTTGCAGCTTTGGTAACAAGCACTGCCACCAGCAGGCTGCAACCCTAATATCAGACTGGATTTCCAGCAACAGAAACAGGTAAAAAGGATTGCAGCATGCATCTCCTCTTTTCCTCTTAGTTGGAATTACTGAAATTACTCCCCACCTCGCGTTTTAAAAATACATTTTACCTAGAGATTGATATGATTTTTAAAAATTAGAATGAATTCAGTAGTTGAAATGCAAATTCCAAGGAAGAAAGGCTAACACTATTATTGTTGTTATTAAAATTTATCTCACCCTTCTGAAAGTGCCCAGGGCAGCAAACAACAAGCAAGAAAAAAATAAAAACATATTAAAAACAGTTCCAATACAGATGCAGATGCAAACTGAGAAAGGTCTTACTTATAACACTTGTTGGAAGAGAAAGGTATTCAGTAGACACCAGAAAGACAACAAATTTAATCTTAGTACCATTTCACTGAGCCACTAGACATCGTTGAAACTTACCATTAAGTGAAAACTAGCAAAACTATTTAAATACATGCATTTGTTTAAATGTGTATTGTGCATCAAAATGGAGTTTCTGAAATTCATCTCCAGTACTGTACTGTGAAGCAATTGCTTTCGGGAAATTAAGATGTTTGCTACAGCCCTTTCATGTGTGAAGAAGTGCATTACTCACACTCCTTACTTATGACAGCCTAGTGGCTCAGCCTAAAAAATTAAAAGAATTACCATAAGGTCTGCCTGTGCTTGAGAATCAGCCTTGTTAACCTCTTTAACCTTCGCAATGCATCAGCTTTGAAAGCAAAACGTGTTTCAAAATACATTATCCTTTTCAGAGTTTCTTCTGGAGATAGATTCACTTAATCTGTATTCTTACTTACGAAACACAAGAAAGAAATGGTGTCAGGAGGAGGAACACCAATCATGTACAAGTTCTCCAATTATATCATGTTTATTTATTTAGTTTGGCTACTCCTGGATCTAACATTGGAGGTTCAAGTAGCATTGGGCTAGGAGTGCATATTTCCAGCTCCATCTGCTTTCACCAGCTATGGCCCCTCTGGGACACAGATCACGAGGACTCTGTACTCCCTCACTCTGGTAACCTTCAGATTGGACTACTGCAGTGCATTCTGTGACTATTCAAACACATTAACTCAGGGGTCGACAAGGTTTATCTTGCCTGGGCCAGATCAGTCCCATGGAGATCCTTCTGTGGGCCGAATTGTGCACGGTCCCCCCCCCCATGATTTCTGGCATTTGTGCATGCACAGACGTGATTTCCGGCGCCACAGAAGCGAGTCCACGCGCTGCACCAGTTTAGTGCAGCATGTAAGCGGGCACCTCGGTTCGGGGGCGGCTTGTGGGCCGGTCGAACGACCTCCATAGGCCACTTCCGGCCCATGGACCTTAGGTTGGTGATCCCTGCATTAACTGATCTAAAACAGTAGCCAGATTATTGCCCAGGGTTCCATTTAGAGCTCATATAACCCATGCTTTGAAGCAGTTGCACTGGTTGTCACCTTATAGAAATAAGGCCCAATTCAATGTGCTTACACTGGTGTTTAAAGCCCTGAACAACTGAGGCCATGTGTCTTCGGCCTTCAAAGTGTGTGGGTAATACTGCAAATAAGAACAACTTTCCGTCTATGTTTTTATGCTTGTTTGTTTCCTTAAACTCATTAACAGCATATTTAACTAGTCACAAAATGAAATTGGCCTCAATGGAACTTTCTCAGCCTTCTGGACATTCTTGGATAAATTTTTAATGTGTCAGAGAATCTACATCTCCCTGCACATATAATTCTTTGTTCTGTGCTATGTATAGCCTTAAGGATGTACTTTAAACAAATGGTGGCTACATTATCTATGCAGGTGTAAATGAAGTCATACAGTATATTATTTTAGAATAGCACAGAGAGAGGATAGCAACCAATGTTGCAGAAATTAGTTAATTAACAGGCTATTGCAACAACGGAGTAGAGTCTTGCAGTGAAATCAATAAAGCTGTTTTAAGTAGAAAGAAGAGTGTGCTGAGTACAACTTAATCAAGACTTTAGTGTTGTGAAAGAAGACCCAGGGCATATATCCAATAGGATTAAGGATTAACATGATAACAAGTAAATACAGGCTTTATTGTCTGGCAATGTCATTAAGAAGACAGTTTATTCCCTATGTCTTTTAGATTGTCAAGTAAAGCAAAGGGTTGCTTGCTAAATGCTATGGACTGGATATATCTATTAATTTAAGAACCTCATGAGTGACTTATAAGCAATTTAACCACAGAACACAAGGACTAGTAGGGCCACTTAGTCCAAACACCACATTGAAGCTTAACTATCCATTCCAAATATTGCATGTACAGACCAGTGATTATAGTTTTATTTTATTGTTTCTAATATTCAGACAGGGAGTTGCAGTTGTGTAGAGACTATTTCCAGATTTGCTAGTGTGCATAACCACGTATCGTACACAAGTCCTAATTTTGGAATTAACAGTACTACTCGAGGAATCTTTACTAGAAATAATTGTCTGCATGCTTACAGAATTGAATTATCTTGGATAACATTGCTTACTTTGTGGAATTTCAATCAATATTTGTGTGCTTGCTCCAGAGAGCCAGCAATAACCATGCCCGTTGCAAGTGCAATGTTTATTTATAAACCAAGGTTTAAAGGTGATAGCAATACTGGTCAATACAGTCAATAGCAATACAGTCAATTGGAAGTGACTTAGAAGCAAGGAAACAGCTTTGTGGGGTGAAGCACCTGTAAAGAACCCATAATAGAAAGGATTCATGTATTACATGGGTAAGCCAACCCATATGCTGTCTGGACCATGTGCTTAGTTACTGTAGCAGAGATAGGGAATTATGAGGTGGAATCTTAGATCCAAGTTCATTATAGAAAAATGAAGATACCAGGAAAGTTGCATGCAAAGTAGTTGCTTTTCTCATCTCAGAGAGCCACAGGCCGGTGAGCTATGGAGATTGGTCTGAGGAGTGAGGCACTGTAGTTATGGGTCTCACTGAGGAAGGGATAGTATGACGTGAGTTTCTGCAGTTGTCTCTGTGATGGAAGGAAAATTGTAACAGCTAGATTGAAATGTTCTGGCAAGGGAGAAGCAGGTGGTTAAGGTAATTCTTCCACCTGTGAAAATGTTGCCCCATACTGGGGTGCTTGGTTATCCAAACCTAGGATAAAATCAGCAATCCACGATTATTATAATAATAATAATAATATATTTGTTGGAGGGAGGGTTATTGATTTGTTTTTGTTGTATTATGTATTTTGGGCTCTCATTTTGTATTTTGTTGTGAGTATGGTTTGTTAGGAATTAATAGTGCTTATACCCAAATAGCAGTAGTAGTAGAAGAAGAAGAGTTTGGATTTGATTTCCCACTTTATCACTACCCTAATAATCATCATAGCATTTAAAAGAGCAATTATTACGTTCATCCAGAATTTTGAAAAGTTAGTTCTTATTCATATGGGAGTGTTATATAAAACAAATCTGTAATCAAACACACTGAAAAGCTTTGGCTAAATTCTCAGAATTAAAACGGGACATCTGATTAATTTCCTTTCTTAAATGTTTCCCTAAATGGTTTGAAGCATGTCACTAAATCAAAGAGCTGCCTAAATTGCATCCAATTACATTTTAAGAAATTAGAACACCATTTGCCTAGAAGATAAATAATTAAGGGCCTATTTTATAAATGTATTTCCATTTGTTAGAACTTAGTTTAAACAAGAACAAGCATGTACCAATTAATTATAACTTAAAAGATTATTCTTAACTCTTTGTAAAGCTTTATTATTAATCATTGAAAAAATAGATTTCTCTGTAAAGGCACAGCATGATTTTAATTGTTATTTTTTCTGTTTAATTTTTAACATTTTCCAAAGTGCTTAATTTTTAATCAGCAGCTATGCTAGCCACATATTTTATCCTTGCCATGTCTCCTATGCAAGATAAATAAAGTTAAATAAATCACAACAGTACATGTATTCAAATGAAAGCCATTTAAAATGCTTTCAAAACTGAAGCATACTCTCTGAAGTATTGATCATAGCTTTGGTTTAAAAAATGAGTGCAGGCGAGATAGCCCAGGAGGGGTTTATTCTAACAAAGGAAGATCTTTGGCAGTATATCCTTAAATAACACTCAGCCACCATTTCCAATTCCCTCTAGTTAACATAGCAAGTGAATGCTTTCTGCTCTTGCATAAACACTGAAGTTGGGCGACTAGAGCTTTAAACCCATGGAACTGTTAAACCACCAGATGTAAACCTTGAAGATACCTTCTGTCTAAAAATCTCACAAAAGAGAAAGAAACCCAAATGAACTAGAGGAAAGAAAGGGTATATAAAATTATCCATGGTGTGGATAAGTGAATGGAGAGAAGTTCTTCTTCCACTTTCATAATTCTAGAGCCTGGGCTAATCTAAAGAAGCTGAATGGAATATTCAAAGCGACAAAAAGGAGTATTTATTCACACAACAAATAGGTTACAGAATTTGTCAGAAGTAATGGTGATCGCCACTAACTTGAGCCAGTTTGAGCCATATGCCTGTAATAATAATAATAATAATCTTTCTTGCGGTCCAACGACCCATAACATGGATTCAGTATAAAATACAGATTCTGAAGCGTTATGTGTTTAGTCATGGGCCTGTTGATCTTTGATTCCTACGACTACTGAAAGAAACTTTGCCATGGCCACTGTGATATCATTGGACTTGTCGTCCAGAAGATAATTGATATAGTAGGCTTTGGACTGACCCAGTCGATTTGACAATAGTGGTTTAGTCAATAGTTCCTTAGCTTGAAAATATTGTCTGCAATGCAATAAAATATGCCACATGCAGTCGACATCCTGAGAGCACACGCAGATCCTATTTTGATAAGGGATACCTCTCAGTCTGCCATTTAACACTTCTGAAGGGAATACATTTAATCTGGTTTTGGTGAAAAGACACCGATATGTTGGTAGAGACAAATTTCTAAGATATGCAGGTGTCTGAAACTCAAACCCATAGTGGATTCCTACTGCTAATGGGCCACAGATAACATGAGATTGAGATCGGAGATCACTATGTGATATGTCGCAGAGCCTTTGCCTTACAGATTCAAGGGCAGTATCATAGCCCAGATGGTACAGGAGAGAAGGTGGCATACCAATCAAGTGACTTTTCTAACCATAATTTTCATCCATGAGCTGGTAAACTCCTTGTTGTTTAGGTATGGAATCCATATGCCTGTGGATTCCAGTTGCTGGGGATCACAAACATGAGGGTGCCATGAGCTCGTATCCTGCTTCCTGGCTCCTCAAACACATGGTTGGCAACGTGCAAAGCATGATGCTAAACTAGATTGGCCTTTGGCTTAATCCAGCAAGTCCTGCAGCAACTGTTATTACCAGTGGCGTAGCGTGGGTTGTCAGCACCCGGGGCAAGGCAAGTAATTTGCGCCCCCTAACCCGTGGATTTGCGCCCCCTAACCTGTGGATTTGCCCTAATCCCAGATGTTGCGCCCGGTGCGGCCGGCCCCCCCTGCATCCCCCACGCTACGCCACTGGTTATTACAGATAAAATTTGGGGGGGAGATTGTTGCTTTTTTATATTTGTGATTCTGCTCTTTTTAGATATTAACCAATTTTGATGTGGGTGTTCGTTGTTTTATGTATTTGTTTTATGCATGTGTGTATATATTTTTTTGTAATTGTCCACTAATAATTCAACAAAATTGCACTCAATGCAGTTTGAAGTATAGTTGAAATAGATGTGAAGTGGATTTGTAAATGTATAGTGCAATCCTATACATATCTACTGAAGAGTAATCACCACTGAGCAAAGGATACATGGAGGATGATAAATAGACTGAATTTTCATAGAAATAAACTTTAGGAGGCAAGAGATAAGCACCTTCTTATTGTAGGAAGTGATAAATATTTTCAGATGGTGCACTGTTCTGCTCATGTATACTGCTGATTGTATCCCAGCATTTGGTCAGTGTGCAAAGCTAATGAGACAATCAGCTTGAAAAGAATTGCCTCTATTTTTCTTTTTGCGGATGTCTTGTTGGCTTACAGCCCTACTAGTAGGGAAAGCCTTTTGAAAGCCACCTAAATGATAAAAAAGATAATTTTAAATAAAAATGTAAGTGATAGTTGTCTGCTGCCACTTGACGGTACAACCCTAACTATGGCTTCAAGTACGGAAAAAAAGTTTTACACTAATAAATATAAATGTTTAAGAATAAGACATATTTGAGATTGGGACCAGGACGGTAATCATTTTTTCATCGAAATTTTGTATTGGACTGATATGAGCATTGAAGCCTATTATTTCCTCAGTTTACGCCATTCAGCCAAATGCTTCTAAGGAGGTTGTGCAGGTATGAGGTAGACAGGTGATGAATTATTCTTCCAAATCCTCTATTTTTGTTACTGCAAGTCCAGGTCAGGGATCCTGTGAAGTAGACAGCAACATATTGCAGCTTTCCCACCCCCAACTATAAAGTTGATCCCTATCTTCAGGTGGGAATACTCCACCCCACTGAGGAAGGATGTTGCACTGGCTTTCCTTGGGAGTAGAAGGGGGGTTTCTCCTTCACGCTTGGCCTGAAATAGGAGTGGGAGCTTGCATAAATAGCTTGCTCCTCCCCTGAGACTTTCTTCCCTGACTCACAGTGGCAGCATGCTCTCCTCCTCTTGAGCAAAGTGGGCTTAGCCAGTTGCCAAAATGGAGCTGAGTGGGGAGCATCCTAGTTTGGGGGTCCCTTTTTTAATCCACTTCAGTCTGCTCTGAATTTGATTAGCTTATGGTGGGTTAGGGCTTAATTTGGCTATTTGGTTGGTTTGTCATTTCGTGCAAGCAGATAATGGTCAGCACCCTGAGGCATGTTGGGTGGAGGGCACCCCACTAACCAGCCTTTATTCTCGACCGCTTTGCAGGGCTGTTTGGTCTGGTGCTCTTGGGGCCTGGCAGGTGCCACCTGTTGAATGCTGAACAGGGGTGGGACACGTACCTATCAGGACACGTACCTGCAGCTTCCCTTTATGGGAAGATGGCATTGCCTCCCTTCCCGATACCTTGCATGAGGGAGTTTCTCTGGGGTGGTTTGGCCCTTAGCAGCAGGCAGGAGGAGATTTTCTGCCTGTTAGCACAGATTATACCTGCCCAAATTTTAATTTGGTTTGGTTCAAGTTTTCCTTGTTATATTTCCTACAGGTACTTCCCTGCCCCCCCCTGCAGTTTATAGCTTGGGGTATTTTAAGTCAGGGAATCAATATAAGGGTCATAAGTTATATTCCCTTACCCTTTCCCCATTTTAAAGCATAGGGAAGTCAAATTACAAAAACATAATTTTAACCTGCCCAGTCCACTTGTGTCACATGACCAATATAGCTTTACGATGTATATTCATTTGTTGAAACATCTTATTAATATAATATTACTAGGATATGGTTTTTTCTCCCTTTTTTTTTTAAGAATACCTCTTAATGTAAGAGACATCGTCTACTGCACAGGAGTTTCACTGATGGATGAAGATGTATGGGAATTCATCTGGATGAAATTCCACTCTACTACGGCAGTATCGGAGAAGAAAATATTGTTAGAAGCTTTAACTTGTAGCGATGACAGAAATTTGTTAAACAGGTATGCTAATTTAGTTAACATTTCCAGTTCCGCCCCCCCCCAAGCTTGTTGTTGACATGATCACTCCTGATCACCTTCTCCAGCTTTGTGGAGCCCATCTTGCTCCTTGGTATGCGCCAGAGCTGAGGGTGAGGAAACAAGATGGGAGACTGCTCAAATGCAAGTGAAAGAAAACTCCAATCAAATGCAGTCAAACAGTGATGAGGGCTCATTATCAAGCCTAGCTAGTGGCAGTGAAGACAGCAAAGAAGGCATAATTTGCTGCCTCCCTTACATTCTCATTGGGCCATCCAGGTAGTGCGGGCCTTTTACATTCTGTTTCGAAGGAGGTGACAGAACCAATGATAGCTTGCTGTGACTTGTTTGCAAAGTATTTTGAGGATAAAATCACTTGCATCTGCCTGGACCTTGATTCCGCTGTTACAGCGGATGAATCTCGAGAGGTGTCCTGAGCACTGTCCAGGCCTGTTATGTTGGTTGAATTTCCGTTAGTAAGGCTCAAGATGTGGACAAGGTGCTTGGATAGGTCAAGGCCACCACTTGCACTCTGGATTCTTGCCCCTGTTGGCTCATAAAAACTAGCAAGGAGGGGACAGCTGGCTGGGCCAGGGAGGTGACTGATGCTTCCTTGCAAGAGGAGGTGGCCCCTGCCTGCTTGAAGGAGGCAGTGGCAAAACCACTTCTCAGTAAATACTCCCTGGATTTGGAAAATCTAAGTAATTACTGGCCAGTTGTCTCCTCTTCTTTGGCAAAGTTCTAGAGTGGGTGGTCATAGATCTGATCTAGGTGCTCTTGGAGGAAACTAATTTTCTAGATGCATATCAATCAAGGTTTAGGCCCGGTTTTGGCTCAGAAACCGCTTTGATGCCTGGTGATTTCTGTTGGGAGAGGCACAGAGGAATATCAGCTTCAGCTGGTGGCCCAGTTGCGCCCCTGTCGGGACAGGGACAACCTAAACTTCTGTCATCTATGCTATGGTTTCCTGTAGGTTAGATTACTGCAACACGTTATGCATGGGGCTGCCTCTGAAGACAGTTTGGAAACTTCAGCTGGTGCAGAATTCTCCAGCTAAGTTGCTCACGGGGGTGGGGCAATACAGTTTGAACATACAATGCCAATCCTGGTCTGACTGCACTGGCTGCCAATTAGTTTCCAAGCCCAATTCAAAGTGCTGGTTTTGACCTATAAAACCTTAAACAGCCCAGGATCACATTACCTCAAGGACTGCCTCTCCCCATATGGACCAATCTGTACCCTGCAATCATTATTGGATGTGCTTTTTCATGTGCCTCCTCTGTGACAAGTCTGGAGGGCAGCCACATAAGAATGGACCTTTTCTGCAGTGGCTCCCTACTTGTGGAATGGTTTTCCCTGGCATCTTTGTTACATATCTTTAGGCACAAAGCAAACTCATTCTTTTTCTCTCAAGCCTTTGGCTAATTAAACAATCTATGGCCTTTTAAACTGGGGGTGGGGTATTGCTTTCACTTGTTGTTATGGTATGTATTTGTGTGTTTTTATATAGTAAACTGCCCTGTAATCTTCGGCCGAAAGGTGGTATAGAAAATTACTTAATTAAAAATAGGAATATTAGTCATAGTATCACTTTGTTCATTCTTTCACAAATTTAAGCATTTTTAAATCTCTCTTGTGGAAGTGTTTGTGTGTGTTTTAGTGGTTTTTCTTCTTCAGATTAGTTATTACTTGATTAGTTCCAAGAGAATAGCATATAACATAGAAGGAAAAACAGAGCAATACAAATAATAGTATTTCAGATCTGCTCATGGCACAAGAAACACTCAGGACATATTTAAAGCTTTTTCCTAATAATCAAAATTGATATCTCCTTTTTGCAGATTTTCAAGACATATTTGTGTTATGTGGATAGCATTTCTTCCAAATCATATATTCCAAGTTAACTTGAAAATGATTGCAAATCTCACTTAAATTTTGGGTAAGCATAATCTCAGAGTAGCATTTAGGATGAAATCTAAAATGAAGCAATTCAGTTTCAGGTTTTATCAAATATCTGTCATAGGCCAATAGTGGAACAAAACAGAACAATAGTGGAACAAAATAGAAAATCACACAAAGTTTTACTTCTTTTCTGTACTTAATAAAACAAAAGTCCAGGAAAGCTTCTGCAATGAATTTCAAAATCATGTAGCAATTTCTAACCTTCATTGGAAAAGCCAGGATGTCTAATAGCTCGATATTTTAGTATTTATGGTGGCAACAACTAACCATTTCTCCTCCCTTCTCTTATTATTCAAGGCTTCTTAACCTGTCTCTCAATTCAGAAGTTGTCCTGGATCAGGATGCAATTGATGTCATAATCCATGTAGCTAGAAATCCACATGGAAGAGATCTTGCTTGGAAGTTTTTTAGAGAAAAATGGAAAATATTGAATGCAAGGTAAAATATATGCCTATCAATACAAAACAAGTGAGAGTACTGGCCGCATCTTTCTTACAGCCATTTGCTTCTTCATTGTTTCAATTTATTTTATCTTAACATTAGTACATGTTATACACATGCGTAAGTAAGCGTTTTGGATCTAAACCTCTTGTGCATGGGGAAGTTGACACACAAGCACACCCGTCTTCCCACCTGCTGTAGTGAGAGTTGAGTCTGGGGAGAAATCTGTGACCATCCCCTCTCAATGCATTAGCAAAGTTGTCATTTATTACTTATAATGACAGTTAAAATACATTGCAGTTTTCATTACCAGTACTAATACAGTACAGTTTAGTCTGCATATATGTTATTTAGAGTTGGATCCAGACTAACAGAGCAATTCTAACCCTCAAACCTCCATGCTGGAGAGGGTTAGGATGTGGTGGAGGTTTCCTCCACTCAGATATGTTCAGCTCTACAAGCAGAGGGGGCTGTGTTGCAACAGAAATCCCCATTGCCCATTGAAAGTACAGCCAGGCGGAAGCTACCACCATTGGTATCCACACCAGAGTAGCCAGCATAAACCACTGAAACAAGGTGTTTTGGGAACATATCTGGGGCAACCAAGGAACCACTAAATCCTAAACCAGCCCAGCTACTGGTCATGGACCTGATTAAAGGCTCTTTAATGTGCTAGCAAAAGCTGGCTCAGCGAACTGGCAGTTTTACAACAGCCCACCCCCCACATTTGCAATAAAGTTCCACCACTTTATAATGCTCCCAGGCATTATTCAGGATTGCAGCCTAAATTAGCTGAACTTTCTCCTTTCCTTTCAATGGGAAGAAATTATAATGACTGCCTAGTGACATCCGTGGGAACCGAGTTCCATTAACTTAAGTCTGGATCTAGCCCATAAATTTTATGAAATGTCTTCTTTTCAGGTATCAGATTTTTCATTTAATACAATTTATTCATTCATTTTATGAAGTTTATTACCAGGGACCCGCTGGCTGCATTAAGTTTACCGTATTCAGATAAATAGCGAAGCAGAGAAGAAGCAGGAACTTTGAGTTGTATTGAACTAAGTACTCAGCACTCAGAGTTGTATCCAATTCTGAGTTCTGAGTACTTAGTTCAATACAACTCTATAAATTGTTGTATCCAACTCTATAAGAGTTGTATCCAACTCAAGAGTAGGAATAAACATACTGAAATTAATTGCCATCACTAATCTAAGTCTATTGATTACAGTGTCTACACTAAGTAGAACTCAGTTGGATACAACCCCTAATTGCTTTTCTTTACCTGCAAAGGAGGGGAAAGAGAAAAGAAAATGTGCCAAGTCCAATGCTCATAGCAATTTATTCATAATTTCCCAAGTCATGGTTTTGGAGAGTCATCTGAACTGAGTTATTGATACCATCCAGCTTTATTTTACTTTTTAAAAAGTTATGAGCTGTCAACTTCACTATTGTGGTAATATCCCAATCTAATATCTGTTCTTTCTTTGCTGATACAGCTCTTGGTATCCAGTGTTTTGCAAGAAGTATGTTAGATGTTAGCATAATACCCAGGGGACCTGATATTGATTTTTTTTTTTTAGTTCTTTTCTTTTGCAATATCCTATGAATCTATGACACTCTCTAACAAACAAATAGCCAACAAATTACAAATCATAATTGTTTATTTTGGTAAGGGTGGGCTGGAAAATACTTCTTAACATTCCAGCAATGTATAGGACAAACATGGGGGGGGGGAGAGAACAACATAACTTAAAAGTGAATTTAGAACTAGAATCCTTGAGGCAACAGATAATGTGAAAGAGAAACGGCAAGCTGTGACAAAGAGCATGATCCTTTGTAACACACTTGCGCAAATGATATCCTTAGTGACCCACTGACAGGTCATAGAGCCCAGTTTATCCTCTTCCTCCTTGCTATACTGGCATAGGTACTCAGTACACCAAGTCATTGTGATAGATAGGTGGTTTCCCAGCTTGTGTTCCATGAGTAAGTGGAGCGGATCATGTTGGATGGAGATATGGGAGGTATGTTCAGATCACCCATTTCCCATGACAACCTGGTTGTTCCCTGTGCGTATGCCAGAGGCAGGGGGCAAGACTTACGATGCCCTTGGAGAGGAGGCTACCTCACCATCACAAGAGCAGGGAAATGCCCAGAATACCTATGATACAACAAAAGCAGAATTAAAAGCATCAGTATTGCATAGGGAAAAAAGTATCATGACATAATTCACTTGAGAATGGGAATGAAGGAGTCTTATCTTTTCCACTTAGAATACAGAGTCATTGCTATGTAATTGCCATGTAACTTAAACAATTAAACTTAGAATGGTTGTGTCTTCCATTTTTAAGCAAAAGAGTGGATATAGCCAGTCAGATCCAATAAGTGTTAGTTTATGGTGGGAAAGGCCCTACCTAAACGGTCATATAAATGTTGGTGAGTTCCCTCGCCTTTAGGCTGTTAATACCAGCATGTATTATGCAAAGAAGTTACAAACCAGCCAGAAAGTCTATAGTTTGAATATCAGCTGGTCTTCCTCTAACTTCCTATTTTTAGTTCTGCCCTTAGTAAGCAGGTTCTTGACCCAATGTGATTGGCTGGCTATGCTGCATATCACAGACCAGAGGAAATTATTTATTTCATATTGCTTCAGTGAGCCAAATTGCTTTGAATGGAGTTTAGTAGGTATATTCTGGTATGATGAATTCAGATTTAGTGGATTCATATGCTCAACAGAAAGCATTTAATAAGTTTAGTGACAAGGGGGGGGGACATTATGCTGATGTAAATGTTAGGTTTTAGCCTTAAGGATATGACCTAGCCTGGCTATTCTCTGCTTTTATGGATTAGACTGTATATATGGACCAGAAACCTCAGGAAAAACTGTAACTGTCATAATAAAACTTAAATGTAACAGATATATTTTAACATGTAAATAATCACGGCATTGTTGTTCAATCTATTTCATATTTGCATTTTTGACCTGGTGTTGAAGATATGGGGAAGCATTATTTATGAATTCAAAGCTTATCAGTGGAGTCACAGAATTTCTTAACACAGAGAGTGAACTAAATGAGGTAAATATTATGCAGTTCGGTGCTTGAAGTTATTTTGTATTCATGTTCATTTTGATGTCTAAAGTCTTACATACCTGAAAGTAGCCGGGCTACATACAGTAGCCATAGTGTTTTGCCATGTAATGATGCCTATCTCGGCTTCCTCAGCACCTTATAATGGTGTGTTTACAGAATGGCTGCACTAGAGCTTCATTTAAGGGAAAGGCAGCCTTGTCAGAACATCTTCCCCCCAAATCCTTTGTGTTTCTACTCAAAAGTAAATCTACTGAGTTCAGTGGGAACCTTTTCCCAAGGACTACCTAACAACAAAAGCCTACATGAGTAGGTGGTCTGGGGCCTCTTGGCATTAGTTCAGGCATGCCTCCTAAGTTTGCTTCGAGTAAATTTGCACGGGATTATAACCTCTAAAAAATGGCACTCATAATAGTGTCAAGCAGCCCCTCAAATTGGTGCATAAACACCCAGCCATTTACAATAAAGAATTAAGGATGTTTTACTAGCCTAATTGAGCACATCTTTTATAATGGTTGATAAACTGGGGCTCTTCAGAGAAGAGCCTTTTAGTTTAACTTTAGCTTCTAAGTTACATTAGGAGTGTTTCCAATTTTCTGTATTTAGTTTCTTATGTAGGAGTAAAACTTGATAAGAGCCCAGCTGTCTGCAACATAAAGCAGCTGGGCTACAGGAGAGACGGAGGAAGTGATGTTAATATAATCAGGCATTGGCGCGTCAATATCTTCCAGCACAATTTGAAGCAATTGCATCACACCTAATTGATGCAGTCTGTTGCCTTATTGCATTTTGTAATAAATCTCCCTGTTAAATTTTACAAGAACTTATTTCAAATGTAGAGCTTTGTCGTCAATATCCAACTTGTTCATATGCTTTGGAAGAAGAGAAAATATGCACACCTATTCAAGTCCAAATTAACCTGGGAAAATTGCATTTCAGCTAAAGAACTTTATAAAGACCTACGAGGAGGGATCTGCTGCCTCTTTCTCACGAGCTGTGGAAACAGTGGAAGCCAATGTCCGGTGGCAAATGCTTTATAAAGAAGAATTATTTCAGTGGCTGAGAAAATCACTGGCACACTAATCAGTGTTTCTGACCAAAACTTAGCACCAAATTGTGCAGCCCGGAGGAGAAGCACAGTGTGACATTCCAAGAACTTTTGACTGGAAGCACAATGAAGACTGGTTAAAATGGAAAGAATATATAGATATATTATATTTTTGCACCAATCTCCTCAAAACTAAAAGGCAAGGGAAAGAAAGAACTATGACAGAGAGAAAAGGTCATGAATGCTTACAAAACCAAGTCCCCACTGTACCATGGCCAAATGTGATATTAAGTGGTGCATGTAAATGTTAATGTCAGTTTTTTGGGGGGAAACCCTCAGAATATTTGTGCATGGTTGTATGGTTCCTGCCTGTATTCTAGCATGCTTACTTAAGGTGTCCATGTTTGTGTGTGAATTTCTGTTACATTGAAGATGGGCATTATGCAAAAGCACAAAGACTATGACAATCAGTGTCACAACAGCAACATAAGGTGGAAAGAAGAACGTAAACGATCTATATGATCAGCCTGTGACTAACTGTCACCTTTCCATGGTGTAGGTCAGTTATGTCAACACTTAGATTGTCTCAGTTACGATTTGGACATTGACCCTCTTTTTGAGTTGCAAATGATTATACAAATTAAATGCTCCCCTATTTTAAGTCAATGATACAGACACGTTTAGAGAGATTTTATTCTCACAATATGTTATAATTCCAAAATTTATTCACTGTTGAACAGCTAACAACAAATTTAGCCCTCTGATCACCATACGTTTAAATGGTTTATGAAATGAGTTTCACATATGTTCTTGGACAAAATCCATAAATCACCCTTATGTGTGGATTTTAGTGTGCAAAAAATACTCATTAGGTGTGATGCAGAAAGTATGGTAATTAATTACACAGCTACCGATGCTTGATATCATGAAAAATATCAAATCAACAGAGAAAAACAAAACAGAATCTGTAGAGAAACAAAAAGATCTTCCTAAATAATGATCCAGTTGTAATGATCCAGTCCCCCCCCCCATGTCTTTTCAGCATAAGAGTGTTATTTATTCACACAAGCATCCCATAAAAATTAAACAAGATGGCATTTGCAGCAATTTTTAATACTGTGGTAGCCTATGTTTAAAAGTAGTCTCTTGTATCTGTTCTACTTTTCATGTGAGGTATCTTCTAGAGCTTTTCAAAAGCTAGATCCTAAACATAGTTACCACAGAATAAGCCCCACTGAATATTGTGGCAGTGCTCATTTTTTCTTCAAATACCTGTTAAATAATGAGATTGCAAAAACGAAATAGTTTCTCTTCACAATTTGTACAACCCATTCATCAATCTTTGGAATGAATATTCACCCATATTATCTATCTAGTATAGAAAATCTTGACTATAACCTACCAAGTCAATAGTCTTTTCTACTTCCCACCATATTTAGTTGCTTATTTTCTCTCTGTTCTCTGTCCTTCAACACAGGACTTGAATCATCACAATAACCAAAGGAAAGAAATATTTTATCTCGTCGTTCATTTTGGAGGGTGGCGCAGCTTAGATAATAATATCACAATAACAGCAACTGCCAGTTTTCACCTTATACAAGAGTTGTAAGTGGTAGCTTGGCTACAAGCCAGTCAGTAACACAACAGCATTGCTAACTGCAGAACTGGCAGTATTAGGTGGGTGTCGGATGATCAGATATATACAATTGCTTCCATGGAGCTTTGTTCTTCAAAACCTGTCCATAATTGTGTACCTTGATTATTTTAATTTTGTTCCAGAGACAGTTTGCAATTTAGAAACATAGAAAGTCAAAGAAGTAAATAGAAATTTGTATAGCCCTTGATACGTACTGCCATTTTCTTCACTGACTGGTAACTATAGGAAGACACTTATGCAAGCTATAATTTGAAATAACATTAACAGGCCCTTGACAGTACTCTATTCCAGTGTTAATGCTTTGCTATAGAAAAGAGAAACTCCTTATCTGGAGCTCTCTTTGTTCATCGAGTGAAGCCAAAAGGCCTTGTGAGCCACATGTAGCTTGCTGGATGTTCAGATACTGCTCCAAGACAAATGTATGGCAGTAATGTATATTTAGCCTTATGACATCCTCATCGTTTCCTGCAGGCTTTGCAGAGTAAAAGCCCAGGAAAAGGAATCAGAGCCAAGGCAAAGGGAGTAGTGTGACTACATGACAGATCAAAAGAAAAAGATTGCCAGGGCAAGAGAAAGGGGGAATAAGCAGAGAAAGTAATGGCTATTGCTAGAAGGTAGGGAAAATGAGGATAGGATGGACTAAGGGAGGCTTGTTGTTGAAGGCAAATCTTTTGGGGCAAGCTTGGGGGTGGATAACCGGTGGCCCCCCAATTGTTGGATTCCAACTCTATGGAAGCTTTGAACCAGCCAGCATGGTCAATAGTCAGGGATAGTCAGGGATTGTAGTCCAAGAACAACTGGGGGACCACAGGTTCCCTATCCCTCTCTTATATTACGTAAAGTTAGAAAATCTGGCCAGTGAACATCCATGGTGTATACGTATTCTATATAGCAGTTATGTCATGGGAATTAATGAAAATGGGGGGGGGGGGTCCGAGGCTTTTTAGATCGCATCCTAGTGTTGATGCAGTGGTGCATTTTGTAATTTCTTGCTTGGGGGGAAAAAAGGGAATCTGTGAATATGTAGAAAAGCATTCAAGTATTCTTGAATACTGAGCTTGCTTTCCTATTAGATCTACAGTAACCAGTTTTAAATTACTGAAAGACTGCGTCTAAGTCCGTGTTATTCTTGCACATGGAGGTTTCTCCATCAGTGCAATTGGTTTCTGAGCATTGATTTCTAACTTCATCACAAAAGTTGAATATCACAAGCTTCTGACCTTTCCATTGATTGTGAGCTAATATAAGCAGGATGGCTCAAATCAGCGTGCACAGGATATGGTTTGCTGGTTGCTTTTATTCTGCTCTAAGTATTACTGTTCTTAAAAAGCACGTTACTTTTCAGTTAAATCTAGGTATTTCAGTGGGAAATCAAAGACCTTTGGCTGGATTGAGCCCCAAACCTCTAACTTTCATGGATACAGAAAGATGAGAGCTGAGTTAGAAAGATATTCTAGCCAAGCCTCTTTGCCACTTCCTATTTTATCTTCTTGGGGTGATCTCTTTTGTTGGCTGTATAATGGTGGAGGGCTTTCTTACAGAAGGGTGGTCTATCCATGTGGGTACCTGGCCTTCATGAGAAACAAAAATTAACAGCATAATCCTACTCAGATGCAAGCCCCATGGAGACTTGCTCCCAGGTAAGTGTGTATATGATTGCACACTTTAAATAGATGTTCCAGGACTATAAAATATTGACTACAATAGAATTGTAGAGTTGGAAGTGATCCCATCTAGTCCAACCCCCCAGAATTGCAGGAATCTCACCTGCAGCATCCCTGACAGATGGCTCCAAAGAAGGAGAGTCCCCCACCTTTCACGAGTGTCTGTTGAACAGCTCTTAACAGTTATTTCTAACGTTACTCGAAATCTCCTTTCTTGTAACTTGAAGCTATTGTTTCAGGTCCTAGCCTCCAGAACAGGAGAAAACAAGCTTGCTCCATCCTCCATATGACAGCCCTTTAGATATTTGAAGATGGCTATCATAGCTCCTCTCAGTCTCCTCTAGAATAGAACATATCCAACTCCTCCAACCGTTCCTCATAAGGCTTGGTTTCTAGACCCTTGATCATCTTGGTTGCCCTCCTCTGCACATGTTTCAGCTTGCCAATATCCTAAATTATGATGCCCAGAACTGGACAACCTACATCAGGTGTGGTCTGACCATGGCGGAATAGAGCAGTACTATGACTTCCTGTTATCTGGATTCTATATTTATATAGATGTAGCCTAGAATAGCATTTGCTTTTTTGCTGCTGCATCACACTGTTAACTCATGTTAAGCTTGCGGTCTACTAAGATCCTTTTCACATGTACTACTGGCAATCCAGGTGCCCCCCCCATCTAATATTTGTGCAGCTGATTCTTCCTGCTTAAGTGTAGAGCCTCACATTTGTCCCTATGGAAATTCAATGTATTTGAATGTGTGTGGGGGGGGCGGGAACCTATCTTAAATCCAAATTATCCCATTGAGCTTTGTCATGCAAAGGATTGGAATAATAGTTCTTCAAAGGGTATCATTATTGGTGTGTACAGCACTGGAATTTTATGACGTTTGAGTTTCTGGGCTGCTGCAAAATATCTGTTTCTTGGTCCAAGTAGGAGTTGTACTCAAGTCAGCCTTGTTCACTTTTTAAAGAATAAATCTGTATTAGGTATGTTGCCAGAACTACAATAGCCAAACCTCAAACTAATACCAAAAACCATTAAAATTGACACTTTAGGGCCAAACTAGATGTAGCTAGAATCATGCAACTTGCAGTTGGGTCATTGCTTTTTGTTGAGCAAATAACAGCTGCAGGGGGATCTGCATTCAGTTCAATGAAATAGGAATGGGGATTTAACTTTGACACTACCCATAATGATTATCCATAGCCTCCTCCTATCACTGCTTTTTATTAAACAAGCAAAAACAAGAATCAACAATGCCATTGCCAGTTGCGTGATTGTTATCATGTGTCCCTTAGTTTGGAGGGAGTAATTAGGAACATAAGAGCCTACTGGATCAGGCCAATGACCCATCTGGTCCAGCATGCTGTTCTCACAGATGCTTATGGGAAGCCTGGAAACAGGACTTGAGCACAATAGCACTTTCACTTTCCACAGATTTGTGGAACAGCGTTGTATCAGTCTTTTATTTTTAATTCCTTTCCTCATGATCCATAGCATGAAATTTGCCTTCTTTACATCAGCTACATACCGGGCTGATATTCTCATTGAGTTATCCCCTACGATCAAAAGCTCACAGGAGGTCCTCTCCTCTTATTTCATGACTGCTAATCTTACTCAGATGTCTTTGGTGAAGTACCATGTTGCAAGCTTTTTGAAAGTCAAATACACCCTTGTCAACCAGATCATGTCTATCTGTGTGATTGTTGATACTCTCAAAGAACTCTGATATGTTCGTGAGACTAACTTGTCCTTGCATAGCTTCAGCCAGGCTTGTGTTGCTATATTTGATTATTTTATCTTTAATGATACTTTCCACTAGTTTCCTCAGGACAGACATTTAAGCTTACTGGCCTGTAATTTCCAGGAATCCTCCCACAATCCTATTAATAAACTCATGATACATAGGCCACTTTCCAGTCCTGAGCTATGGCGGGCAATCCAGGATAAATTTCACATCTGGATTCTTTGAGAATTATCAGGTGGATGCCATCTGTACCAGGCAATTTGTTAGTTTTTATTTTGTCTACTAATCCTAGAATCTCATCTGTCCTAACCACTATTTGTCTCAGTTCTTCAGACACCCTTCAAAGTTAGTTTCAGGCACATGATTCTGCCCTGTATCTTCTATTGTGAAGACAAATGTACACAATTCATTCAGCTTCTCAGCAATCTCTTTATCATTCTTTAACACATCTTTGAGTCTCTTGTCATCCAAAGGTCTAACTGGCTCCACAGACAGTCTTCTACGACTTACATATTTAAAGAACTTGTTGTTTGTCTTAATGTTTTTCGTAATGTGTTGCTCAAATTCTTGTTTCTGCTTGCTTTCTCTCCCCCCCCACCAATTGTGTTCCTTTTTGTTCTCCTCATTTGGGCAGGGCTACAGTTTTTTGATGGAAATCTTGTCTCTAATGGATGGAAATCTTCTTGTCTCTAATCTTCTTGTCTTTGAATTTGCATGTGTTGGCTTCTTTTACTCTGATTGTTAACCACATCTCTTGGCCCTCGCGGTACCTCTCCTGAACTATGGTATACACTCCAGCTCAGTTTCTAATTTTGTGTTTTGAAACAACTTCCAATCAATTTGGAGTAATCTGGCCTTCTTGACTTTTCATTTCTGCTTGCTTTTCACCAATCTCATTTTAGATAATTCTCCTCTTTTGAATTTGCATGTGTTGGGTTTATTTATTTATTTGGCAATTTAATTTAATCCCACTATGGTCACTGCTCCTGGCCTTTACAAAAGTTACATCTCACACTCAAGTCCAGGGTCTCCACACCTCTGGTCAGTTCCGTGACCAATTGTTGCAGAGCACAGTCACTTAGGGTATCTAGACATTTTGCATCTTTGTTGTGATGAACACTTATTTAGTCCATCTGTGTGAAGGTGGTTCAAGTCAGCCTTGCTGCATTTTCTCTTTTTGGATTCTTCCATGATCTCATTCTTCATCTGAAGGTCTCTCCCTGATAGTTTTGATTGGGGGATGATGGCCTGTCACCTGTGCCAAATTACTCTTGGTATCACCACCCAAAACAGCCCTATGGAAGAATCTACCTCTTTGTGGACACAACCCTTGTATGCCCTTCCTATAGTTTATATCCAGAGATAACCATGTCTCAATGGTTCTCTCTGTTCTACCAGGTTTCCTTTATGCCTACCTACCATATCAATGCCCTCCTCTAAGACCAAGAACTCCAGTTCACCCATCTTGTCTCAGAGGCTTCTAGCATTGGCATAGAAACATTTGTATGCAGCTTCTCTTTCCAAGTGTCTCTGGCACTTGTGTTTGATCTGTAGTGCTTTGGCCTCTCTGAATTGTTATCCTGTGGACTTGCATTCACAATACTTCGTTCTATGCATCCCCCATTAAAATTTTCATCAATTTTATCAAGTCCAGCTCCGAGGGCCTTCTGGCAGTTCCCTCACTGCAAGAAGTGAGGTTACAGGGAACCAGACAGAGGGCCTTCTCGGTAGTGGCACCTGCCCTGTGGAACGCCCTCCCATCAGACGTCAAGGAAATAAACAACTAACTGACTTTTAGGAGACATCTGAAGGCAGCCCTGTTTAGGGAAGTTTTTAATGTTTGATGTTTTGTTTTTAATATTCTGTTGGGAGATGCCCAGAGTGGCTGGGGAAACCCAGCCAGATGGGCGGGGTATAAATAATGAATTATTATTATTATTATTATTATTATTATTATTATTATTATTATTTTATTTTCAGTCCAGGGGAGATTTGTTCCAAAGTGGACACTCTTCAGCTTCTGTTGTGTCTCCCTTGCACACAGACACCCTGCAATCTGTTTAAAAGATGCTTTTCCACTATTTTGATTTTAAGCGCCAATGGTTTCAAGGGGAGCCTGTCCCCCTTAAACAGGTCCAGCATGACCCAGAATATTCCCCAGTGACTAACAAATCCAAACCTACATCTCACAACACCATTGTCTCATCTATGCATTGACACTACAGAGCTGTGCCAAGTGAATTCACCAAAGTATGCTTAAAATGAACACACCACCACAATGTTGAACTTGGATAATATGAGTTTGAGGGGGCTTTTCCCCATCACTGTGTGGCACAACTGCCCTAGTGTGAATGTATCGCCATAATCCTGGCATCAATTTACATATTTGTTGGTTCAAATCACCAATAGACTGTGATCCTGGGATGACAGGCAGTATAGAAATTTAATAAATAAATAAAAGTAAGTAACCTTTTGAGATGGCCTCAGCTTTCAGAACTTAGAGTGCTTTTGGCTGGTAAATCTTTTCCATTTGTTTCTGGTGTGTTTATTTTATTTTTCTAGCAGGCAAGATACAAATTTCA